AAAAAAAAAAAAAAAAAGACCAGCCTTACTGATAGTAAAGAGACTGATGAACCCCTGAGACTATGGCCTTTAGTCATTCTTCATATCTGGAACTGAACTCACTCTGGTGGGTCACTTTTCAACCAAACAATAGGTCTACAAGATGAACAATAACACTAGGGAGTTATGCACTGCTTAGAACAACCAACTATTCAAGATCAAAATGGCAGCATTTGCCCAAGGAAAAAGTTCAGAAGGTAGAAAGGGTTAGGAAAGAAGGAGGAATGGAAAGAGAAATACAGGGAAGAAGTAGGAAGAATGAAGTTATATTGAAGAGATTACAGTCAACAAAATGTGTACAAATTATTGAATGGAAAACTGATTTGCCCTGTAAACTTTCACCCAAATCACAATAAAAAGTTAAATAATAATAATCATAATAACATATTTCATATAGGTAGAATCATAAAAAAGAAATCCTTGTATAAGTACCTCAATGTAAGTACTCAGTTTAGTCTGTATAGCCCTCATCTGTTTAACTGTGTGAATATGACTTATCATAACTGAAGCCCAAATTAGTCAGACACACCTGATAATGTTGCAGACTGATCACTAGTAGGGAATGTATCTAATTTACCATTAAAAGCATCACTCTTTGCCTCATTTAATGTCAATAGTATGTACAGTGACTATATTAGTATGTAAAGATTACAAAGCTATTTGTTGCCTCTCCTGATAACTAGTTTATATTTGACAAGTTATTTTATGTCATGGATAAAGATACACTTTGCTAATCTCCTTGAAGGAGCTCTGGTAGCATAGCGCCTAAGGCATTTGACTGTTAACCAGAAGGCTGGTGGTTCAAACCCACCAGCCATTCCTCGGAAGGAAGGTTGGTCAATCTACTTCCGTAGTGATACCGCCTCGGAAACCCAAGGAGGGGTCGCTATGAGTTGGGGCCAACTAGACAGCACACCAGAACAACAACAACAATCTCCTTGAAGTGGATAAACAAAATATGCTACAAATCAATTTTATTTAGTAGAAATATTGAGGAGCCTTATCCTTTTCTGTTTTTAACTGTTACACTGTACTTAACAGAAAGTGAATCTGAGAGTGTCACTGGAAGTGGAAGTGGAGGGGAATTCAGGTAGAAATGCAGCTGTGATAAATTCCAGACAAGAAGGTGGAGAAACAGTCAGAAACATGAAGGGGAGCAGTGGCAGATTAAGAACTGTAGAGAAATAAAGATTCAGAAGGAAGAACAGATTTAGAATAGAAAACTTGACACTCAGGGCTAAGGGTAAAATCTTTCTCAACACTGCGTCTAGGAGTTACATCCAGGATCCTTTTAAGTTGAGACTCAAATGCATGACAGAGAAGATGGACTAGAGATATGAACAAGCACTTCAATTCAATCTCATTGCCTACACACTTAAAATTCAAGTTCTCCCGATGGTTTAGGGAAGAGAAAGTCTGACACGATTGGTTAAAAGGGAGTTTTGAGGAGCTGAGGTGGATTTTATGTACCCGTGGGATCGTGGCCCTTTGCCGTTTGGTTGTATCTTGTCTGAGAGTTAATGAGGGAGTTATATAAGAATGAGTGGGAAAAATACAAAGTTTTAGAACTTTGGAAAGTAAAACCATAAAGTGGTATAGGGTAGAATTTGACACATTTTCCTCTTTAAAATGTAGTTAAATACAGTTTAACTTTCTTTATGAAAAATGACAGTCATTGGAGGAAATCCCTTTAGTCCTCACCATCTGGGCTCCATTAATGAAGTTTGTGGTTCTTCTTGAACTGTTCCTGATATTGCTTATTATGAGGTCTCCCATTTCAAACTCAATATGGTGGCTGGTAGGTAGGCTGTAAGAATCAGTTTAAAGTTTGAACAAGAGGTGAATTTTAGGAAAGCAAAGTTTCTTGGGGAATGCAGGGAGAATGAATGATTTTCTTGAATGCTGGCTCAATCCAGCTAACTCACAGGACAATCCTCTGAGGGAAGGATTGTTATCCTTATTCTACAAAGGAGACAGAGAAATTAAGGAACTTAACTTCAAAATCACATAGCTAAGATGTGGTAGAGCTGTGATTCAACCCCAGATGTGTATGATTCTGAAGTCTCTATCCTCCATATAATGCTACCATTCAAAAAAGTGTTAATATGAAAAGGAACAAAGTCCTGACACATGCTGCAACATAGATGCACTTCAAAAACATTACACTAAGTGAAAGATGCCGGTCACAAAAGGCCCCATATTATATGATTTCATTTATATGAAATGTTCAGAAAAAGAAATCTAGAGACACAAAGTACATTAGTGATTGCCTATGGCTGGGAGTAGAAACAGGGTGTACCCAAAAATGAGCTTAAGGGATTTTGGGGGGGTGATGGAGATGTTCTCAAATTAGATTGGGGTGATGGCTATACAACTCTGTATATTTACTAAAATTATTGATTGAAACACTTAAAATGAGTGAATTTTGTAGTAGGTGAAGTGTATCTCAATAAATCTGCTTTTAACAAAAATGGTTTGATCACCATCACTATGATTAGCATGTGGCTTTTCATTAGCTTTCCTCATTTCTATGTATGTCATCTTTGATTAAAGGAATGTGATCTAAAGAGATAGAGGGAAATAAAACTTGGCTTTCCATGCATCCATGAAGATGCCAGCCTGATAGTTATGATCTAAACACCAGTGCTCTGTCCTATACAGGAATACAGGTGGGGGGAAGGCAGGAGTCAGAGGAATTCACTCAATTCTTACCAACCCAGCCCTCTTCCTTTCTGTCTACCCGCTGACTTTGGGGCCAGAGAAGGGAGACAGGATGAAAGGAGGACAAGATAAAAAGAGGATTTGTCAAGATAAATAGAGGGGAAGAGAAAAATGACAAGTTAAAATTAAGTCACCAAATGCTGTGTCCCTTTCATCCCTGACAATTGAAATCCTCAAGGGATAGTGACCACAAGACAAGAAAACTCAGGCTGTGTTCATCACTAGTTGGCTCTGAGTAAGAAGTCTGTCTTCACAGACACAGTGAAAACATGTCCTCAAATTGTGTTTAGATCAGTGGAAGTTCAGGCCTTTTCTTTCAAAGGCACTAAATGCCATCTGGACAGGTTCATATAAGTGAATCTAATATCTCTTCTGACTGGCTTGATTTACCAAAGTTTTTTTGTCTTCACTACTCTGATCGTATCTTAGATATTAAAGCTTAGACAGGCCTTAAAGATTACTTGGTATAGTGGTCCCCAAACATTTTTAGCAGCAGAATTCTCTCTTCAGCATAAATGCGGAAAGCCAAATTGATAAGGCAGGTCAAAGTGGCATTGCCTTGCTCTGCCTGGTGCATATATAGGAGGAGGTGGGAGGTGGGGAGAGTGGTCTGGTGCCCTGTCTGCTTGGAATTCCTTTCCAAAGTGACATCTGAGGCCCCTTCCCTTCAAAGAATCTTTATGGCTACAAGGTACACAGACTACTGATTCAGCACAATCTCCCAGTTTTATGTTTGAGGAGCCTAAAGTTGCACATTAATACATACATGTATCTGGTCAGTGGTAAAGCCAGGATTTTTCGTGGTCTTATCTGACTTAAAGTCAAAGTTCTTTGCCATCATACTATACTGCCTTTCACATTTTGTTGTTGTTGTTATGTGCCGTCATTAGCACATTTAAACCTCATTTTTAAAATGTTTAGAGACAACTTGGTAGAGTAAGAGTGAAGACTTTGGAGTCAGGCAGATCAGGGCCGAATACTGGCTTTTGTTATGTTGGTGAAATTACTTATCTTTCTGAATGTCAATTCCTTCATCTATAAACTAGGTATTGTCACACCACTCATGAGGCAGTCGAGAGGATGATTAAGGGTGCACAGTACCAAGCACAGAGATGGCACTCTGCTGGTCCAAGCCTGCTTTAAGTCTAGTACCTGTTCCATCGCCCACACTATCTCCAGAGCATAGCACACAAGAGTAGGGGTGACCCAGATGAGCCAGCATCCTCCAGCAACCCCAGGAGTTTCTGCTGGTGGGCTAGTGGTTAGGATTTCTGTTCCAAAGCTGATACTGTAGAGATCAAATGTGTCTG